TTATAATTTATTTAATCATAGTATTTTTGAAATTTGTATGAAAAAATTGGTTTTTTATGATTATAAATCAAATATTATCCGAAAGTATGTTTGTAGGACAGATTTTCAAAACATAGCTACAAAGAGTAAGTAAATACGAAGAGAGTATAACCTTTTTCACACTCTGAAACAAAAAATTGATCAACTAGATAGCATTTAACGTTATGTTACTGAATATGAAACAATCGAAACTACAACTTTCATCGGAAGATATTGATAAGAAAATATTTCCTCTGGTTTAACGGAGATTCGAAATAAACGTCGGAAACAATAACAGAATGTTTTGCAAGAGGATAATACAGAAATATTTGGGGAAGAACAAGCGACTAAAGTCTTCTTAGATTTACGTATGTAGAAAATGAAAGATAATCATTACATGTATTAATAAAAAGTGATCATCACGTCAGTTACACAAAAAATCTATTCTAATTGTTTTTAATATGAAACTACGTACATACATGTATACATAAATTTGATCTACATGATTTATCGAAAACCCCAGTAATTATTGTAGCATATGACTAAGAATTGTGCTTGTTGACTCCAAACGATGTTTTCAGGTTGGGGAAGGATGAAGATATTGATGAATTATAATTTGTTGTTCTATCGAAATTATATGTATTTATTAATCTCTTTATCCTTAACCACTCCTCCTTAAAAGTTGCGTTTGCCCTTTTTTTGCATTTGAAAGTTTTCGTACTGTTGATTGTTGCAAAAAAAGCAAATTACGTAAACGGGTATCATCATCACCATCATTATTATTAGTTGTTGCCACGGTGATGGTGTTGTTATTGTTATTATTATTGTCATCGTCATCGTCATCGTCATCGTCATCGTCATTGTTATTATCATTATGATTGAAAGAGTTATTAAAAGTTTCGATCGATTTCAAGAAAACATTGTGGGAAGTTTCAATTGATTTCAAGGCAACATTGTGGGAAGTTTCAATTGATTTCAAGGCAACATTGTGGGAAGTTTCAACCGATTTCAAGGCAACATCGTGGAAAGTTTCAACCGATTTCAAGATATCGTTGAGGGATTTATTTATTGTATCTAATAAGGATTGGGCGACGATGGTCTTGTTGTCCATGATACTGTTGATTAGTGGAATGTGGCGACAAGTGGATTGGTGATCGAGTGCAAAGATAGTAGTGTTGGAATGTGTCGATGAAAGTGGATGGTTTGGCGTGTAATGGTGAAGTACAATGGAATAGCGACAGTGGGTGTATATAGTAATAGAATGCAGATGGTGGTGGAAAGCGACAATAGGTGATGGAATAACGGCAATGGTGATGGGTGATGTGTATGTAGTAGTAGAATGGGAGTTGAAACAGACAGCAACAGCAATCAGTAATAGCGGTGGTGGAAAATATATATTGCTAGTAAAACATTCTTTTAAAATAAGACAAACAATAATAACTTACCTTATTAAGAGTAATGAAAGAGTAAAAGAATAAGAGTGATGAAAGAGTAAAAGAATAAGAATAATGAAAGAGTAAAAGAATAAGAGTAATGGAAGAGTAAAAGAATAAGAGTGATGAAAAAAGTAAAAGAATAAGAGTGACAAGAGTGAAAAAACTAAAAAAAATAGTTTACAGTGAGATTTTATACAAAAAATCTGTCCACTTTTTTTGTGGCGTAGTTCACATGAGCTTGTGATTATGGGTTTGATGCAGTATTATCGTTATTAATTATCGTAATTATCGTTATTCCCACGTTCCACATTAATCAGTGTTTGGGGTACGTTATAAAAATTTTGAACACGTAAATTTTTGGTAATGCATGAGTTTAAATGATATCATCTATCGCTATAGCCTATTTAGTACTGAACGTTCGTCATTTTAGCACACTCTCAGAAACAATTAGATAATCGGATTGGTTATTAATATTCAGACTACACAACACACTATCGGCAAATCAGAAATGAATCTGGATATAGAAATACGTAGACATAATATTCATTACAAATGTCGCAAAAGAAAGGAGTCTATGCTACAAACCATCGTTTAAATTACCTTTCTTCTTTTTCAACTGTTTTCCATTCTAACCTTTATCACTTTCAACAACAGCACGACGCAAGCTTTCCCCGTACCTGGGACAAACAAGAATACGAACAGCGTGCACGAGATCGTCATGCACAACAGCTAGAAGAGGAGGAAGAGCGAAGATGTAAAGGTCTAAAACCTAAACCAGCTGATGATGTTTTGGATGAAGAGGGACCTCGTGATTTGCTTACGGCGCGCATAGAGAAAGTTGTGCTCGATGCTAACTTGAATAGGACCCAGTTGGTTCAAAGCACTAGTATTGCCTCGAAATAACCAGGATATTATTGTAAAGTGCGCGAATCCTGGTTGGACGGTCCATTAAATACAAGTATATCTGGGGGATGGGATCATAAAGAAAATAAATGTAAACGATACGGAGAACGCAAAGTTGTGTTGAAATCATTACACAATTCCAAGCAAATTACATCCGAGTTTTATAAATGAGATAAAATGAACACCTTTAAGTGTAAGTATATGACTTTTTTGTTTTTCAATCTAATTAACTTTTTCAAAATTAGATTCAGACTGCTCTAAAGTGCACTGTTACCCTTCTTAATTATTACGGAATAACTAAAAACCCAGCTACAAATGAATACGTACTCGATATGCAAAATATATGAATTCCAACTATGAAGCACTCACTGACTTGGAAAAAGAAATTAGATTATTTAATTAAGGTCATTAAAGGGTTGTATACCATTCACACAAAAGACTTTGTGCATCGTAACTTTCACCTGGAAATATATTAATGGAGAATATTCCTTCAATTGTTGATTTTTGACTTACTTGCCCAGCCGATATAGAAAAATCTGCTCAAAAAATTTTGCGGGGTACTTATATGAGTCCAGAGGCACTAAATGGAAAGCCATACACTAAACTGCAGATATTTATAGTTTCGGGATGATTACGTACGAGGTTGTCACAGGCGAACGACCATTTGGTGAACGAATTCATGATAGACACCTCGTATTAGACACTTATAATGGAGTACGACCTACGATACCAAGTTTAAAATGTTGGGATCCTGTTCCAGAAAACAGACCAACTGCTTGGGAACTTGATGACTTTATTGACTCTATCAGAGGATATGATAGAGAACCGAATACCTTGCATTCTCAGTACTACGGTTCCTTAGAATATCCTAAAACTCATGAAGAAATTAAGGAGTGTCAAACTAGAAAAGTAGAAATATATGAACTTGATGAGAAGATGAAAAGCATTCCTACGAATATGAGTAAAAAATAAAAAATCCACTCAACGCAGCTTACACAGTCGAATGTTTACCACAAAACTAATTTCAATTCCAACTGAGACAGGTATTTTTTTTCTATTTCTAAATATAATTCATATGAACATTTTACGTTAAAGTTTATATCGAATGTTTAGGGTTGACAAGTGTCAGTTTGTATGTTCCAAACGATTTCGATTTGAATATACCACACGAAACCAAAGAGAACGAAGAGATGTCGAGTACCTTGCAAAAAAAAACTACAGATTCAATTCCAACAAAAATATAGCAAGATCAAATGAAAAATACTGTGCTGTATTGGAAGAAAATAGCAATTACTTTATTTTATACTTGGCTTATCTTTTTTTATCTTTAATCATTATGTTTATTTGTAATTATTTATTTTATTCATATAAAAAATGATTCTCGAAAATCTACTTTTTAGAGTATAACGATAACGCTAGATGAGCGTCACCTTTAGTTGCGTCAAGATGGTTCTGTAACGTTTTGAGAGCTTATACTTCAATACCCGGACAATTTTCGATCGAGAAACTTTCGGTGATGTGAAAGAGGTGTTTGGTTTAATAGGAATTACTATGTAATTCCATAAAAAAAATATCGCATAAGAGCTTACTTACATTAAATAGCAAATATTTGACCAGAAACAAGGCTTTGCGCTCTCTTGTACATTCACACCGTATTTATTTTTGAACTTGTAAAATACTTCAGGAACATAATGTCGGCAGCTACCATCGCCTCACAGTACTAGAGACCTGATATGCATTCACATCAACCTCGCCATTCTCGTTTCCCGTTACGAATTTACTCGAGAATTTCCGGAGGCGCTCAATTTTGTGACATTGGGATTTTCAGTTTGCATCGTGTGGCAGAGAAACAGCATTCTTGGGAAGAAAAAAAATAAGAGTCAATGTGTCGCTTGCAAATTACTTTCCCTTGACCTGCATCCATAAGATCTTATGATTATTCGAAATGTAATATTTTTAATATCAATTAGAATTAGCGAACGTTCTATTGGTCTATTCGTAATTTCAAAAACCTCACTTTGAATAATCCACAAGCAGCAGCTCCCTCGTCGACTGACTCTTCTTCATTCCATGGGAGATTGAGACTTAA